TCCTTTTTGAACTTAATTTCTCTATTGTTTCTAACTGAATGTGCAGCTCTAGCCTTTAGTATTGCATTTGACGCAAATACCAAGTCTGCACAATCAAAAAAATCAATGCATGTTAGGCCTCATTAAATTAAATTGCAGAATACGTTTAAATAGAAGTAAAGAATACACTCCCAGCTTCACAAGTAGCTACAGGCTCTTGCTCCATCTTGTAATCAGATTCCACCGAACTTTCGACTTCCTCTTTCTCCCTTAGTTTTTCATTTTTAATCTTCAACCACAACTTCATCATCTTCCGCACTCAAATCACCCACATTTGTATCTTCTTCACTCTGGTATTATAAGGTTTCCTCATTTCTAGTATCATATGCAACAGCAATGCATATGATTGCAATGGGGCTATGACATATATTTTCTCATCTGGATGCCCATACCTGACCCTAAGCATTTTCTTCATATCCTCTTCACTCTCCAATCTTGTCAACTCCTTTTCTAAACTCAATTTTTGCTTCTTATAGTAGAACTCCAACACCTTTTCATCACAAGTTCCATGTAAGAATTTACTCAAACTCTCTCTAATACACCATTTACCATGAACGAAGTTGACGAAAAGCATGAATCTCACTTCATACACCACCTTGTTTGGCTTATCACAGCGTGGCCTCCATAATGTACTTCAACAGTGAAATATTGAGAATTTAATATAAAGTTCACATCAAAATCAAGCAATAAATTGGGGAGTTTGAGGCTTTAATACGAAATGGCAAGTAAATTGAGAAACACTGAATGCATCACACTTAAATGGACAAAATTGAGGGATTGCACACTGAAATCATGTGAATGCACTGTAGAATTGTATGAATTCACATAAAAATTTAAGGAATGAATAGTATACGATAAATGGGTAGATCGCTACCGAGATTTTTGAAAAAGGAACAAACATGTTGCTCTTCGAAGGTCTGCTTAACAACAATAAGCAGCATCAAAACTCGACATAGATTCTCAATCATGAAAAACGCTAAAATACGAAATGGAAAAAAAATACCCAACTCGTAATTTTCTTATCTCCGCTCTTCCAAAAACTCACTACGTGTTTCCATTGTGTGCCCACAAGATGAGATGAAGAGCATATGAGAGAAAAATGGAGGAAATCTTGTCAAAATGGAAGAAAAATGAGATTTTTGAAGAAGAAACCACAATGGAACCTTCGCGTGTAAGAGCAGATTAAGAGGTGTAAATGGATTGAGACTATTTTACCCTTGGTATTTGAAAATAAAATTGTATTTTTGTATTGAATTAAATGAGTAATTAACAGTAAGTTGATAGGACATTTTTCGCGAAGATGGGCCACCCTTCCGTCCACATCGGGGCCACCTTCTCTTAATCCACTATAACAAAAATGATTATAATGCACCATCATTTGTCCATAGCTTGGGTTAACCCCTCTTTTTCAGCTTCTTTATCACCCCCTCGTTTGCCTGCTATATCATTTCGGAGCGAAGCGACCTCATCTTGAAGGTCTATTATATTGCTTTGTAGCACTCAAATATCATAGAGTAAATCTCCTACCTCGTATCTCAACTCTTGTCCCAGCACCTCTACATCCTTTCGTAGTGCATTCACCTCCTTTCATAACACCTCCCACCTTCTTTACCATAAATTTAGTCAGACGAACATACAAATTATTGAAATAATGACTCTGACTGTGAGCAGGAAATCCATGAAGGAGGTGTCTAGATGTAAAAAAAGAAGCTCTCATCGATAGATGTGATATCTAGGGCAAAGGTGATCAATTGGTTCGTGATCCTACACAAATAACAATATTAAAAATTATTAACTTAATTAAAATAGATTAACTTATACAAAATGGCAATCAATAAATTATATTCAATTCAAATACTCAATCTTGGTCCAAGGATGGAATTGGACATCTGGTCGTCTTGAATATGCGTAACAGCTAATTCATGCAAAAAACCTCGACCCTCCTCCTCCGTCGATGACGTTAACTCAATTAGTACTTCAAGTTGATACATTGACATTTCAACTAGTTAATGATTATGTGCTAAGATTTTGAAACGACATACAATATAATTCGCAAATGTATATTACTCATCAAGGGTTGTCAAAGAGAGCTGATAACTAATTGTTAGATGGACAACCGTTTAGTCAGGATGCTTGCCAATTATGTATTTGAGGGCAGCATGTCTCTCATTGCCTCGCAAACTGGGTACCCAATCTCATATATCCAAATCTACAACATATACAATTATTATGGTTGGTATAACTCCCGAACCAAACTAAGTGGCTCTTCTTAAGTTAAAAACCCGAATGAGTGTCTGTATCGAAAATCGATGGGTTTGGTTCAATTCAATTATTGATTCTAGATCAAGAACCAAAGAACTGAATAAGAACCAAATCCTAATTTTTTAAATTTATTTATTTTAAATAAGACAAATTATTTTATTTTTTCTAAATAAATTTGCTTACTAGTTAATTTAGCTCAAATCCAAAAATATGATCTTCCTATTTCTAATTTTCATTCCAAGCATAACTTAATCAAATTGACATAAAATTTATCTAAATCTATTATTCTACCGTAGTGTCGTTTTTACCATTCTAAAGAAATCAAATTGAAACTCGACAACGCCTTTCTTAATTATTGTAAGCTCGCTATTTTTCTTTTTTTGTGATTTCAACAATTAAATCTGTGAAAAACACAGCAAGGAGAGACGCAAAAAACATATAAAATTGGACTATTTTATTTTGTAAGAGCAAAGATTGAATATGTCATTAGTTGAATTAATGTAGCTTTGTAAATATTTAAAAAATAATTATAGTATAAAACTTGGAAACCAAATGGAGTCGAACCGAACTGAACCGGACTGAATTGAACCTGAACGGTTCCATTATTGAGCCCCCGTTTGTTTCTCATTTTTGGAAGAATGAGAATGAAAAATATAGTCGTTACGGGCTCCACACAAGAGATAGAAATTTAAATTTGGTGACTTGATGTGATGGATAACGGTCATATTTTTCATTTTAATGAAAAAATAATGGGAAACAAACCGAGGCTAAATTTGGACCAATGATTCCACTTATTAAATACCAAAAAATTTTGGGTTGGGTTCGGTTCTTGTTAGAAACGGACCTTGCCCAGGCCTAACAATTATTATCTATAATTTTAGTATAAAAATATTTTAACGTTAATTATATTAAATTTTTACCTGCACTATTAGGGACAATTCACAAGTATTGTACTTACGTAATGACCCCTTAGGCTTCGAATGTGATCTGGTAAAAATGTGTCTGGCCCCATGGGTAGTTGTTGAAGGCATCGATGTCATCAACAACTTTCAAATAAAAAATGTCGATTGCAGTCTTTTTGTGATAACACCTCACCACTCTCTCGAGGATATAGACTAGTCCCAACCTCAAACTGCCCAACATTTCGTTGCACTCACTAATTGCACCAATCAACTGTGGTAGAAACATTGTCCCCTGTTCTTGAAAATATATGTCATACAGCCTATTGCTTCTTTCGGTACCATCGCGAGCTGCTTCATCGCCTGTAATCTTGAGTCCAACCATTAAAACAAACTCATACATAGAGAAACTAACGATCTTGCCCTCGCAGTCGAAATGGAGGGCATTGCCATCGACAAGCCTAAGCAGCCTACATAGTAGTGTACCAATGATTTGTCCAGAGTACTGCACCTCTCTCAACTAACATAGTGGCCACATGAATGACTACCATAGCAAATCTCCGTGTTGATCATCAACCAACTCCATCATAGTAATAAAATTCTCAAAACGACTGTTTCAAGTAGCTTTTTCCTCTATCCGTCTCAACTTAGCATCCAAATTATACTCCATCATATAAAAATTTAAATGTTAATGCTTTAAACAAGAGATAATGGAATAAAACAGAATCTCAGAAACTTAAGCGAACAGAATTATAACTACTATATGCAAAAAATAGATTCATTTTACATTGATGCTAATAAAAAAATAAATGATTTAATAAATTAAAGGAAAAGCACAAAGATAAAAAAGAATTATAGACAACAAAAAAATTAATTAAAAAAGTAAAGAAAAAAAATATAAAAAGCATATTAAATTGAAAAAAAATAAAGATTTGTTTATATATATATATAAACAAAAGGAAATTATAAAAATCAAATAAAGAATATAAATATTATTTAATTAAAATTGAAAAAAAAATAAAGATTTGTGTAAAAAGAATATTTAATTAAAAAGAATTTATATTGAAAAAGATAAAAAGAAAAAAAGAATATTTAATTTGGTAATTTTTAATTTATTTAATTTAAAAAATAGAAATAAAGGATATAAATATTATTTGATTAAAATGGAAAAAAATAGAGATTTCTTTAAAAAGAATTTTAAATTAAGAAAAAAAATAAAAGATATAAAAGAATTTGGTAATTTGATTAAAAA